GTACACGGCCCTTGGCCTTGCTCAGCGTATGCGTACTTCCCAGACCCCCGGGAAGATCTAGAAAGTAGATCCCTTGAGGGGGTTCCTATAAAAGTACCCTTTAGTAGTCAGGGTCCCAAATTAGGGGATCTACTTTTCCGGTCCTCCCGGGGTCTGGGATGGAAGGTAACCATACTTATACCTACTTATGGCCCTCACGTTTTCAGGGTTCTCCGTTTTCAGGGTTCTCCGTTCCGGGATTTTACAAGCGACATGAGACTTTCAAGTATTGTAGATAAGAACCGCAAACCCTGAACCCTAAACCCTGAAACCCTAAAACCCTAAAACCCTAAAACCCTAAACCCCAAACCCTGATCCCCAAACCCTGAAACACTAAGAGTTTACGGGGGGGGGCCCGGGCCTTGGCGGCCTTGGATTCGTCGCCCTTGAACCGGACTTTCGAGAAGTCGGTCTCCTTGGGTTTAGGGCAACTTACAGGAAACTACAGGTGGGGAGTTTAGGGTATATAGGGCTTCTATAAGGCTTCTATAAGGTATATAGACCTTCTATAAGGCTCATATAACGGCGCCCACCTGAAAATGTCACAGATTAAACCAACTAAGCCCTAAGCCCTAAACCCCTTAATCCCAAGCCCACTTAAGGTTTAGGGCCTTGGGCAGTCTTGAAGACTTCAGGTTTCCTTCAAGAAAAATTGGGGGTTCGGGGGTTTTGGCGTGTAGGATGTACGGGTTTAAGTTTAGGGGGGGGGGTTAGGATGTAGAGTTCCTCAATGAAGGGGGGTTCTAAAAAGGGGTGTTTAAGGCTTTAAGGGAGGGTCAGGGCTTGAAGGGGTCATCCATGTAAGGTGGGGACCTTAATAATTAGAATAAGGTTTGGGGGGGCGTTTCCTTATGATAACTATAGTACATTAACCCCCAAACCCTATTCTAATTATTAAGGCCCCTATATGGGAGTTTCCGAAAATAGGGGACCCTAATATATTACCCTCAGTCTAAGTAGTAGGTCCCTTATTATAAGGACCCCCAAAATAAGGTCCCCCTATTTTCAGAAACTCTCATATTATCAAGCAACAACAAGTAAGGGAACGTCGGGTCCCAGGTTTAGAGGATTAGGCTTTGGGCGTTTACTTGGAGGTTCATGGGTACTTATAAGTCCCCTAATTTCGGTAGTAGTTATAGTTACCCTTCTTATAACCCGACTTATGACTACCCATGAAACTCCAAGCAGGGTCTCAGGTTTTTTGAGGTTTAGGCCTTGGGGGATTTAGAGATTATGGGGCTTGAGTTTCTTCTTCTGGCAGGCCGGGTCTTTCGTAGGGGGCTTAGAGTCAGGCGGCTGTGTTGAGGGTTTCGGATCTCGGGTGCTTGGGTTACGGCTTTGGGGCTTAGGGTTTAGGGGTTTAGGGTTTCGAGTTTAAGTCAAACATGCATGCAGCAAAGTCTAGTGTTTAGTCTCAGGTTTTGGGGTCTAAGATGTTTGTGCTGCGGGCTGAGAGTTTGAAGACGGCTATGGACCATTATTTGGAGGGTCTGCCTGACAAAACACTTGAAAAGGTGTTGCATCCTAAACCCTAGAGGTGTTTTTTGTCACAGAGGCATTTGACGCTAGACGTTTCAATCGTTCAAACATATCAGTCGGGATAGCTCCCTAAACCCTAAACCCTAAACCCTAAACCCTAAACCCTAAACCCTGGAAGGACGAACGTGTCAAGCGGTCAAACCTAGGGCTTCCCATACCCCTGAACCCGAAGGGTCCATGTATCCAAACGGTATGTACTTTAGCCAAGGTGCTTATAGGGAGCACTTTAAGGCCAAAGTTTATACTGTTTGGGCACAGGGACCCTAAGGGGGAACCCTGAATGTGCTTGTGTCGGGATTCAATCTTGCGGGCTTCCTAGACACTGTCAGCTGTTCATGGATGCAGAACCTGCAGACGTGTCGCACTGTACACCCTCTTGCTGAAGCCTAAAACTTGCCTGAATCCCGGTAGATACACACGGCTATAGCTCTATACAGGCATGTATATGAATGTGACCTTGTATACATATACAAACTATTTAAATCAATAAATCGACCAACAAGTTCAAAAGGCAGATTGAGATGTGCAAAAAGATTTGCGCATAATTCGATGCAACTCGTGCCAAGCTGCAACCATTCCAGGGCTGATCGCTGTCACCCTGACAGCCAAACATCTCGGAGTCTTGTGTGTGGCGTGGGGTTTCAAAATTATCGTCGCCGACATCAAGACCATGAAAATAAGTAACACAGCAAAATGTGCATCCCGACTCCCATGCCTGCTGCCATCTCAGTTCTCAACATCGTCATCATCGTCATCATCATCATCATCATGGTCATCATCATCATCCTCATAACTTTCATCACCACCTTCATAAAGATCTACATCAAAGTCGACATAACCATCAACGTCAACATCAGCATCATCGCCATCATGGTTGACTTGCCCATCCCCACTGCCATCTTACGACATCCAACCAACCGGCGGTGCGGCCATGAAAGGCTAAAACCTTTCGATTCGGGGTGTAGGGTAACAACAACCCTCATGCAAAAGACCAGCAGAAAAGTTCGATGCGTGCAGGTCGTAAAGCTTGTGAGGAACAGTGCTCAGGGTTAGGGCTTCGGGCTGAGGGTCTACTTGGAGGTTCATGGATAGTTATAAGTGGGGTTATAAGTCCCCTAACATGGGTTATAACTATAGTTACCCTACTTATAACCCCACTTATAACTACCCTAAACCCTAGCCCCTAAACCCTAAACCCTATAGAACCCCTTAAAGGAACCTTACAACTGGGACTTATAACCCCACTTATAACTACCCATGAACCTCCAAGTAGGGCTTAGGGTTTGGGGCTGGGGCTGGCCGTCGGCATAAGCACTTCGAGAGTGATTCGGCTACTGCTTGGAGGTTCATGGGTAGTTATAAGGGTTTAGGGGTTTAGGGTTTAGGGTTTAGGGTTTAGGGTTTAGGAGTGGGGTTATAAGTAAGGTAACTATAGTTATAACCCATATTGGGGGACTTATAACCCTACTTATAACTACCCATGAACCTCCAAGTGGGCTTCGGGTAGGCAAGTCAGAGGCTGAGCAGGACATGGGACCTAATGTAGCGGCCTCACGAATTAGAATAGGGTTTTGGGGTTCGATGTGCTATATTGAATAAGAAGGAGTCATTTTGGAATAATACGAACACCCCTAAACCCTAAACCCTGAACCCTAAACCCTCTACCCTAAGCCCTAAAATTCCAGGTTTCGGGTTTGAAGATCCAGTCTGGTCATCAGCAGGTTGCTGCACAGAACGGCAGTAAACTTGAAAGCTCGGTCACACGTGGGCACTTCTCCAAAGTACGGTCAATCTCAAGGTCTTTTTAACGGGTGCCGTACTTTTCTTGGGTACCTCAAATGGAAGTCTAATGAAAAGAACTGCAAGAGCAGAGTGGCAATTTCCACCAAATGCACCCTATTCATATGCCCTTGCACAGGCCCCCTGTAGAGGAAGTGCAGTAGTCGATAAGCCTTACATGCCAACCCTCAACCCTAAAGCCGTACCTAAGTACTGATATTGATAAACCTGGAGCGGCGAATCTCTAACGCCCTGAAACCTTAAGCCCCATAAAGTTCCTCAACGCCTTCGACGAATCCTTATACAGAGCCTCTTTAGAGTTCTACCTATAGTATCCATTGTAGTTTGCTTGTTGGTGTAGTCTTTTCGTTTACAGAACTTGATGTTTAGGTTCCTACAATGTAACTGAACTACAAGGGAGACTGCACGGCGACCCTTTGCCGGATAGCCTGATCGGTGTGCCCGCCAAGTCATGGCGGGTGGCGATGGTGAACCTCACTGTAGACCCCTGATGTAAACACAAACCCCACCCTAAGAAGCATTATGGTGAACCTCAATGTAGACCCCTGCTGTAAACAAGAAACCCTGCCCTAAGAAGCAATATAATGGCAGGGATCGGGGCCGTTGAAGACGGTGAGTTTATGAATCAGGGGGTCTTGGGGATCCGAATCCTAGGCCCTGAAAGAAAGGGAGTTCAGTTACGGGTCCACATGGGTGGTTGTCAAAATTATGGTCCCTATTTGGGTCCTTATTATAACACGGCACCTGTTATGTAGGGTACCCCAAAAGGGACCATCATTTTGACAACTACCCACATTAATGAACACATGAAGGACTCCTTCAAGGGGTGAGCCTTTCGGGTTGAGGGCTATTAGTGGTTTAGCGTTCTACCGGGATACCCCTAGCGCAGCCTCTGACTCATACACCGCATTGTCTTGGAAGGAATCGTAACCGTGTCCTTATTCTTCTCCTTCTTAAGAAAGGAACGGCGGGGAGGGGGAACCAATCTGCAATGTAGGGGGCCTTAATGATTAGAATAAGGTGATGGGGGGGGATAGTAGAGTACATTTACCTTAAGAACCCTAAGGAATAAATCGTATTCGTAGATGAGTTAAACCCTTATATTGCAGTCCCCAGCGGCTTGTGGCATCTCTGACTTAGGGGCTCGAGGTATCAGGCCAGGGTTTGGTTTTAGGGTGAGGTTTAGGGATTACCTGGACCCCCCCAGGTACCCAGGGTCGGGGGGGAGGGGGGGCGGGGTATAGTGGAGGTCTTTTCAGGGTTTAAGGTTTAGGGTTTAGGAATTTTGATCTGACGAAATATCAGGTTCCACTCTCGATGCCCAGCACCACCGGGAAGGTACCGTGGAAAGCAAAAGACCAAAGTTGGAACAAAAAAAGACCCGCAGAACTCCTTTCAGAATGAGCTTATAACCCTAAACTCCCTAACGTCAAGACAACAAAGTCCATAACCCTCATTGCTAAACCTTCAGCAACAAAAATGAACCCCAAACACTACTAATGTAGGGGCCTTAATAAACAGAACAGGGTTTTTGGCTCCGCTATACTATAAATATATTAAGGAGCCCCCATAAGGAATCCCCAAACGAATAGAGGTAGTTATTTAGACCCCTAAACCCCAAATCCTTAAACCCTAAGCCCTACACCCAAACCCTAAACCCAAACCCTAAACCCTAAATCCTGAGCCCTAAACCCTTAAACCCAACCTCTAAACCCAAACCCCCCCTTTTTTTACACACAGCAAACCTAGATATCCTGCAGGCAAAGCGGCGCATTCACCGCATGCTTCGTGGCGCAGTAGGCCGAGCCTCCGACGTAGGCTTCATGACCTGCCCAAAGAGCCCACGGCTTAGGGTTTAGGGCTTTAGGGNNGGGTTTAGGGTTTAGGACCCAAAGAGCCCAATGCCCCCTAATTGAAGAATGTACCATAACTCCAAAAACACCCTACAAGACCCACTAAGAGACCCGGGGTCAGTTTAAGGTTTATGATCACAATATATATATATATA